ACTTGAATCATCTACTGTAGACTGGGACTAAGACAAGACAGTTATTGTGCATTAACTCAAAGGCTCAAAACATAAAACATTATCTTAAAGCTGCCTTAAGAGTACAAGGCCGGTATTCATAGTCAGATCTTATACTCAAGACAGTCTTGAATTTATCTAAAGATGCTATATGGAACATTTCATTGGCCACGGAGTATCTAAAGATGTTAGGACAGTCTTGAGTATAAGATCCGACTATGAATACCGGCCTACGACAGCCATTCTGCTCAGACCCTAAAGGCCTGTGTCCACGATGCTAGAACTTGGACCAAGTCCTAGCATCGTGGACACTGGCCTCAAGGGACGACTGTAAACATAGCACAGCGTATGATATCCTTTGGCGCGTACAAACTTTTAGTGCTTATTTGAAACTTTGGTTGTTAAACGAGGAGGCGCGAATACATCTACGAATTTTCTGCCTGCTCTTCAGGTGCGCGATGAAGTCCAACAAAAACGTGAGTGACGAGAAACCATGGGGAGAGTTGGAGCCTAAGGAGGACGTGGTCAAGCAGGAAGTGGTAACGCCGGATCTCATTGAGACCATTTGGCGGCAGGTCATGGACGACTCGAACAGCACCGACTGCGACTACCGGAACGACCGGCAGTCCGAATACTTGCAGTGAGTGTAACGTTTGCTCACGACGTTGAACGCGAGGGAACGACGAGTCGAGCATCGGTCGCCGTTAACGTTATCAATCTCGTTTTAGGCTGCCGATGGGAAATCTACACGTGCTGAACACCATAAATCTTCATCAGCAGCTACGCACGATGGTAAAAGACGCAAACAGACTTCTCGAAAGTTGTTCCGAAAAGTCACCGTTTTTCTTTTCGCTTTCACAGTCGTCATCTATAAATGACAAACTCCTAGTAAAATTATTACATGTTAATCTCGTTTATTTGTTTTTTCTAGGACGAAGGAAACGTGCTTGGGAACATGACAGTCATCGAGTCGCAGGATTCGAAGAAAACAAGTTGTACGGGTCTATTTAATTTTCTGCCTCATCAGTCAAGAAGGTACTTCGTTAACTCGACTCACGAGCCGCGCAGCGGCGACATTGATCATTGTAATTGCTTACTGTAACCGTCGTTTCAGAGACACGTTTAAGGACAGTTCCACTGTGCATCACCTGACGCCGCAGTCCGCGCGGAATCTGCTCAGGCACGCCGTGACTACCCTGGTGGCGCACATAGGATTCGAAAACTCGTCGGATGTAGCTGTAGAGACGCTCACCGACATCGCGGATCACTTTCTCAGGCGGATAACTCTTCTGTTGAAAGTAGCGAGTGAACAGAAGGATCGCGGATTTCCCGTAAGAGAAAGCGAGAGCCACGCGATTATCGTTACAACGTCTGTACCGGTCTGTCTACACGTCGGATCACTTTTGTGTTTGTCAGGACGCCGTGGAGAGAGTGCTGCTGGAGACCGGCGTGGGTGGCGTGTCGGCGTTGCACGACTTCTATCAGGAGTACGTCTTGAAGTTCGAGGAGAACACGAGGAGGAAGGTCGAGGAAGCGATGGAGAAGCAGAGGCAAGTTGAGCTTGATGCATATTCTCGGGGTGGGGAGAAATGTGCGCTGCGTTACGCGAGAATGAATGAAAGAGCGCGATATCCGTCGGCTTTTCAGGATGGTCCTGGACGAGGCGGCCAGCAAGCTGCAGTTCGAAGAGCTGGACGAGTTCGGCAACGTGTACCGAAATGTGCCGACGTTGCAGCTGCTCGATCCCGAAATGGGCTTCACGCCCAGCCTGGACGCGGGCTTCCAAATGCTCTATAGCCTCGAACAGGACGAGTAGGCTCTACCTCGGCGCGCGATCTCGCGCACGTCCGGTCGTGTATTCAGAATTGACGATCTTACTGCCTGGAGATTGAATAGCATGGACGGAGGCGAATGTGAGCGGTTCCCCGAGCGCGGGGCACCGGTCGAGCGCATCCGTGGAAAGTAAAGAGCGATGTTGACGATCTCCTGTATCGAGAAGGTGCATATTGAGGTTACCAAGTCCGAAATAAAGAATTCGATTTTATTCTTTCGGACTTCGCAAGGTTTTTTTTCTTTTAAGGACTATGTGTATCATGCTCTTTCTAAATCTAAGGATGATCTTGCTCGTGGCTCATTCG